AAAAAAAAAAAACCCGTGAATTCGCTTGCGATCTTCGAGCGCTGTGCTGTGGTTTTTTCAACTCATCTAGCTCTTTTGAGGCCACCCCCTGTGCTTTATTTTTGGCTTTTAACGGCGGTTTCTACAAAGTAAGATTTCAAAATATCTGTTACTGTTAGTGGATAGTTTTGAAGTCCAACTTTACCATTTAGTTTGCTGAAAGTCAGTAGTTTTATAGAAGGAAAACGTATCAAGCCGGTGGCGAGCTACAACCTGCTCCTGTTACAGGTGACATACTGAATAACAGTAGTTTACTTGAAAGTTGCTACTATGGTGCCACAACGCTTATAACTATTATAAAGTTTTAAGAATCATTTGTGTGCGTAGTGTTCCTGAAGGAATCCTTTTAAAAACATCAATTTTTTGTTGTTCGGAAGATTATTGATGGTAACGTAGTTACTCAATTTATTGATCTACTGTGCGTCAATAATTAAAAGTTGCTGAGAAGTGTGATTTTACCAGGTAAGATTTAAAAATAAGTACCAAACACTCTTGCTGTCTTAGCTAAAAGTCTTTTTCAAGCGAGTAAAAACTATATTACGCATATTCTTCTAGAAAGTATCTAAGATAATGAAAACTTAAATTCCTTGTTTCGTGTTATGGGAAATGGAATTTGAAATTAATTAGATAATTTAGTTTACAACGACTGACTTTGAACTTATTGTGAAAGAAATTACAAGCTGTTTTCTTATAAGTTTAGAAGCGAAAATACAGTTCTTATGTTGTTGGAAAAAACGTACTTCTGTAAGATTTTCAAGAGCTAATAAAGCTTAGTCTAATCGTCTCTGTTTTGGAATGCAATGCACTGGTTTGATGTTTGGCTTTGCAAAATGCCAGACGCTTAAAATTGGCTAGGAGTGGTGCTAGGAAGGCGAAAGGAAAGTAGAATACCAAAAGTAAAAGATCGCGAAAAATTGAGAATCTACTTTGTGCTTCATTTCGCCATACTTTTTTGTGCTCTTTCTCGTACGCTTTCTAATGCTTTATTAATTGAAGAATGGAACAAAACTGTGAAAAAAAAATAATTTTTTTCCTTTGCAAATTACGAAAACTTTATTTGATGCAACATAATTTGACCAAAAGCAACTCTATGATCACTCTATGAAATTGTTTAGTTTATTTAAAGGTAAACAAATTACTAGCGTGGTGTTTAAAAAAAAAAATCATGGAAGAAGAATATTAAAATTAGCATTTTTGAGAAGATTATAAGTAAGCCTGAAACTTTTGAAAAGCATTGGTGTCATGAATATAATTTATAAAAGTCGAAATTCCAAAAACTTGGGAAAACTACTGTGAATAATAAAGAAAAACCAAAAATTAGGAAGTTTTGCTTGCTGGGAAAGTTTTTCAGATTGATAAAATGTCTGTTAAAGATTATCACTGAAGAAAGAATCCTGCGGCACCGAGGTGTTTCTGGTGCTGTTGTTCTTTTTCACTGAACTGCCTTATATTGAGACAGTGATATCTTGACGGCTCAGGCCATCATCATTGTCATCTGTCAAAATAACTTCGATTCTGATTCTGTCATCAGGCATTCCGCCACTTAAATTCAGCGAAATTGTCTGAAAATGCTTGGCAGAAGCACACTGCTTAATTTTTACCATTTATTTTTCTGCATAAACTGGTCAAAAGATTCAGTTACTTGATTGTTCGTAGATTATTTACGATAAAAAAATAGTCACTAAATTATTCATCTAAAAAATAATTTGTATTTAGCCATGCAACTGATAGATCACTGTGAACAGTAGCATTCTAGGCATACAAAAGCTTCCTAATGTACAAAAAGGACAGTAATCTACTTTTAATTTTAGGATGTGTAAAGGAAAAAGAAAGCAGAAGTAAATCCCCTAAAAATATTTGATCTTTGGCATTTTTAAACAAAAACAGAAAAGTGGTATTCAGTAAAAAAAAATCTAGCTTTCTTAGAATATCAGACAAAAGATTATAAAGATTAACCAAACGCCGACAATTCTGAATTTTACAATAAATTTATTCACAAATTGATTTTGAAAATATTGCGATTTTTGCAGTGATAAATGTATTCGGACATAGCTCAAGTTTATTTTTCTTATATCCATTTCGGTAGCGTATCCAACAGTTGCACCAGTTTGGAGTGATACCGGTTGAGTGAGCTGGAGCGAGATTTAATTGACGTTAATAAAGTGGACAGAAATATACTGAACCTATTGTTGAAATCGACTTCTTGCACCTCAGTTTTTTCTGCTTAGTGTTATCGACAATTCGATTCTTCCGATATATGACCTTTTTTACATTTGTACCATGACTTTGAAGCACTAGAGCCCTTCAAGACAGTAAGCAGTTGTATAAATGATCATTTGGTTAATCGCTCATCCATCTGTATGTTTCATGTAGTTGATATAGTTTCAACTACTGGCGCTGATATTAAGTCAACTGCTGTCACCAGTTCACTGGGAGGCGATATACAGTTGTTAGGGGAACGGTAGAACAATAGGCGAAAATTTATTTGGTCAATGTTCATTTGAACAGGATTAGATTGAATTATTGTCTCAAAGGAACGAAGATTTAAAGTAGAATATAATTGCGCAATTTCATGCAGCTACTAAAAAACCCTAAGAAGGGCAAAAAAGTGAAAGAACGGGGATGCATTAGATGTTAGACAAAAAGTCGATCAACTCACCTCATTGATATTGCTAAGGCTTTAAAGCGATGGTTGACAGAATGAAATTTTGCTGCAGAAACCAAATTTTATCAATTGATCAACTCGTTAGAATGCTTCTTGTCTGTAATCATTTAAATTCGCATCATCAGGAAATATCAGTATTGAGAAGAAAAAAGAGAAGAATATAAATGGCGAAAAGAATTTGCCTAAATCTGAATGCTTCTATCATTGTAATAATCGCAACATTTTTAATTTATTTATTTTATTTTATTTTATTTATTTTGTTTCGTTTTATTTTATTTTTCTTTTTTTTTTCAAATGATGTGATAACAGAATTTTGAAATGTCTCCGTTTGTATTGACGTTTATCATCTTTTATCTGTACTTTCATAAAAAAGCTAAATTTTTTTCCATTGTTTCCTTATCCATTGCTGCATATACTCTGTTTTGCTTGAAAACTTCGTTTGCCAACTGGTTAAAGTAGATTTATATTTGCCATTTTTTAACCTTTTCAATTTAATAAATATAATATTACAATTTTTTGTACCAGACATCCTCACAATGATTAGAGTAATTGCGCTAATCTTCCATCTGCTCGGCTGCATACCATTAATTTTCACTCAAGATTTAACGGTAATTCTTGCATTCAATTTTATGCCTGTCGCTTATCATCAACAAATTTTTCACCACTATCACTAGTTTTAGATATTCCATTTGATTCACTATAAATCCTCACAGCATTACGATGTTCACAAGCTTTTTAAGCAACTTATCTCTCTAACTTAGAAGAAACGTGAAAAAAAATTTTTTACATTTTTCCGTAAAAAAAATACCCGTAGTAGTCCTGTCACTTTCCTGAATAAGCATAGAGGCTTTTTATTGTATGCTGACATTTAAAGACGCTAATCATTTCTTTAATGGCTTCATAATTAGAAGGAATGTGAGGTAGGACGTCGTTATGCGACGGGGCCGTGCAGTCCGATGTATTTGGTTTGCAAACCTGAACATTTTGTTGCTGTTATGAATTGTCCAGAATACAACGTTTTTGATCCGGATAGACAGATTTGTGTTCTAAACAAAGTTGGTTGTAAAAGCAGTTCGTAAGTTCATTAATTACTGCAAATTACCTCAGTTATTATGTCAGTCATCTAGACTAGATTAAAAACTTGTTTAAGTTAATGTTCAATACATAAAATTCCGCTATCAATTTTATAGTCACTGCCTAGAATAAATGGTTTTCAAAAAATCATAAAGCTAAATGTTTTGCTCAATTGGAACGAAAAAATAACAAAAAAATTGAGCATAAAACAAACAAAAAAACTAATTTTAGCTAAGCATCTTTTAGGCTACTGCGAAGCATAAATGATGGAACGCCTGTTGACGAACTTGAAGTTGGGACTATTTTCGCAGAAGAAGTTAATGATGATCCTAAGCGTCAAAATGCTGTTGTCTTCAGAGATGAAGATCCAGTAATTAATGATGGTGACGCTAAAGATATCATAGTATCGCAAAGATCTTCGATCGCTGGTAATCTTTAACAACTTGAAACGTTTTAACCGCTCAAAGTATCTGTTCAAAATGCTTCCAGTACAGACGTATCAAAATAGGCCATTGTTAACATTTAAATATAGCTTATTCAGATACTGATTCCTCGGATGGAACCAAAACACTAATGGAGCACCCATCAAGACAGCATACACAAAGTAAGATTGCCCACAGAAGACCTTGGCCAGAAGTTGGCCAATACTTGGAAACTTCTGTAAGACCGTTCCCTCTGTTATGGTCTTCAAACGATGTTTCTGGACTCGGCTATAGCTACGTCACGACCTACGAACAGCCGTTACTGCCACCAATTTTACAACCGGCTCTCTACGACGAGTTCAACGTTCACTTACCGGTTCGGCCAATTTTTTTCGCTGCCTTCATGCCACCTAGGGCTACACTTTTAGACCAGTTTGACGTCGCTTAAAAAAACAAAAATCTCTTTTGAACATACTCACTTACTGAAAAACTATAACGTATTGATTGTAATGTAATCAAAACTAAGCGGTTCAAGCAGTTCAATCAATTTCCCGAAGGCCTGCATAAAAGTGAACGAAGCCTTAGTAGATTAGTTGACTGAGACCTACTTCTTCCACTAACTTTCCTCACAATACACTAGACAAACCACTTTAAGCACCAAAGATTTCCCAACATCTTTAACTTGGAAAAGCTCTGATCTTATTCCCCTTAAATTGATGTTATAAACAGAACATCTTTTAGTTAGTTTTTTATTAATTGAGGCCCTTCTATAACTATAAACTTCCCTTTCTAAATTACATTTCTGCAGACTTAGAGGTTCTACTTCTGTTTGTAAACCTCCAATTAATTCTAATTCCAACGTCCTCTTCTCAATTTCTCAATTTCCTTTTGACTTGAAAAATAGTCAATAAATTGGACAACTTTGGTGTAGCATTTTTTTAAAATACCACAGCACTGTTCTATCAACCTCCTCCTTGCCCGCACTTAAAAGGGCTAAAAGCCTATGATCCGAACAAGCTCCCCTAATAAATTCATGCCGAAGTAAATCTTCCGACATAAAAAAAATATTTGCTACCTGAATACGTCAGTCTACGCGGCTAACAATTCAGTTCGAAACGTGTCCGACCGCGTCCTTTCTACTGCAAAAATCACCGCTGTGTATATTCACGCGTCCTCCAAACCAGTTTTGCTTCGGGCTTCAAAACAGAATTTCAAACTTTAAATTTGTTTCCCAACGCTTACTTGCAATGACTACTCTTAAGGCCTAGGAGATTCCAAGAGTGTTTCTCAACTCAATTTTGAAACGCGGTTTACATTCTTATAAAGTAAATAATTACTGCTTTATTCGCTTGCTCATGTGTTCTTAAATATTTGAAACGTTAAAATACCGGTACTTTTCATCACATTAACTTGTTCAAACGACAAGAATAAAATATATCAGTGCTTTCATAAATGTTCTATTTTCAATATTAACACTTGTTAACGTTCGAGGATATTTTTACAAATCGAGAGAACAAAAGAATCACGCCTTTCTTGTAAGTCAATAGACGGCTGGATCTGGCAGTCACAAATCGATAGTCATTCAAAAACCCTCGTAGTAATGCGTCCGCCAATCGGTATACTTTTCCTGAAAAAACAACCAAGAAACTTAAGTGGCGGAACAAATCAGCACTTAATTCCTCCGTCACTCCCAAAGAAAAACGAAATTAAGAATCAATTTACTTCAGGAAATAAAATACTGAAGTCGATGGTTTTTCCGTCCGTCTGAGATTCTTTTAATCGCTTCATAGATGGATGCTCAGGTAAAGGCAAAATATATGTACCATTCTCTCGCTTTGGGACTTCCCATAATTCAGGCCTTTCTGCTTTACACCGTTCCAGATATTCTTCCGCTTGGCGTTTTTTGATTTCATATTTTTCATTTTCCATCACCCGCACTTTTTCCAGCTGTTGAAAAGTAATTATTAAAAAATATTATCACTAATGAAGAAACTCTGATGGCTGAGTCATCTCTGATGCCTGCTTATAGTGTGCAGAAATGAAAGACGTTATAAGAGGTGAAAGTTTAAGTAAACCTCAACAGCTTCGTCCTTATATCGCAAAAACCACCTTTATTCATATTTGGTAAAATAGACTAGGATACTTAGCATTACAGTAGGCAGAACTTACTGCATCAAAATCCTGTGTAGTACCAATTGGGGCTACACACCAATCGCCAGAATCTGATGTGTGGAATCCATGAGCAACTTTGCTTCCTTTTCTCTTGCTTTTCTTAGAGATTTTAGCTTCTCCTCTATACCAATCAAGTCCTTCATACTGTTTGTTCGAAAATCCTTTTTCTGATTTTGGTGAGCTCCATGCCATTGTGAACGCCTGAATTAAAATATTTCAAAAAACTAAAAGTTTAGTCTTCATGAATGCACAACGATAAAATGGAATTGATGGGATAACCAAACATACAGTATTTTCAAGACCTGTTAATTTTTATTCGTTCTTCTAAGAGGACGAAACGTTACATGACAGTTAACAAAAGACTGTGTTAAACTCAGAGACTCTCAAAAAGCATTATGAATTCACTGCATCTTTAATTGAGAAATTTTGTTTTCATTTACAAAGTGGAGCATCAGGATACACCAGTATCGCTAATTTTCCTTTACAAAAAAACGGCACTCTAGACGACGTCCTCGAAGCTGACATACATAACTAACCTATTTCCATCAAAAAACTCAAGTTGTAAAATTTTAAGCAAAGCACGAAAAGCGAATTGCTCACGACGTTTTCGTTTGGAAATATACATGAAACAGTTTTTCCACTTCTCTTTTGCATTATTTATGAAAGGCAAAAACAAATTGTGACTGTTCCCACTTTCTATCCTCAGTGTTTGAGAAAACCAACAGAGCTAACAGCAGAATACGGATAAATTATGAATTCTTTTATTTAAATCTTCCTGCAGTTTAAAAATGATAAGTTAAATTTTAACAGCAAAAGAGCAGCGGTGATCCTTTAGGCCCAAAGGCGCCAACTAAGTAGAATTTTCTACGCTCTAACAAAACTGGGCACACGAACAAATGTTAATTACATGAGAAACTTTAAATTCGCAGTTTCATTAGCGTACTGGCGGCTTGCGAAATTACGATCTCAAAACGAAATCTGAATATCATAAACAAATTGAAAATTTTATAACGAATAATTAATTCGGAAAAAATGGTTATAAAAGACATTTGTAAAAAAAATTGAGCAAAACTTTATTTAAGTGGAGACAAATAAGAGCCAAAAATCTAACTTGAAACTGTATTCACATAAAGTCACTCACTTTTTGAATTACATTGCAACTTTGAAAATTTGGGTGAAATAAGCCAAAAGTAGTCGAAGTGCCTTCAATTCGTCAACAACTAAACTTAAACAATCGTTTGCGGTGTCTGGAAGTACACCAAGTTCAACTAGAGGAATTGTCACTGGGTTTCGGGTTGACGAGCAAGCGCTTTTTCAAACCTTTGATTCCATAACCCCCATCCGCTTGACTTGAGTGGCGCTTGGCCAAAACCCTTCAGGGATTCCGGAACGTCCCTGAATTACTGTCGACTTGCACCTTATCAATTATTAAATGTTAACTTTTGGTTGGTAATTGCTACTTTCTTGTAGTGGTTATTGGACAACTAGTCGCCTTCAAAATTATTTTCATTTTCTTCAGTACTCAATTTGATTGGTGGTTTTAATAGATAAATTTGCAGCGGTTTTAGCAGAAAGCTGTGATCATAAAATTTGCCGTTATTATTGAAAGTGGCCAGTGCTACCATCTGCTTTTTTTATTTTATTGACGTAAACTTTATTCAATAAAAGTTAATTAATCTGGCAGATACCAGGGTTTAAGAATATGTGTAATTCATTTAATTTTCCTCTCAGTAAAGTTTCCGTTAATCAACCGTTTTTGATGCACAGCCCAGCGTTGAATGAACATAGTAGAGTTCAAATTAAATATTAAACTGCTTATTGGAGAATGGTAAGTATGGACTGTGTAACCACTTACAGTGGCTAATTATATATCGATGTAGTACTTTTGTAAAATGACGAATAAAACGGCGTACGAGCTTTAGCTGATTTATCTATTTTTGGTCAAATGTTAACCCAACCCTAGCGTGCAAATGAATGAAATTACTGATTTAATTCATATGCTTAAGTACTTCATTACTATTAATTTTTTTCAGTAATGAGGCTTAATTAGTATTTAAGTAAAAAAAGCATTATCTGAAGATTTACTTTTGTATCCAGTACTTTATTTAAGCACTTGCTTCATATAGTTCTCCCATTCTTTCGTAAAGCAGATTTTTTATTCCAATAAGTTTGTGTAACAAGAAGAGGTTTTTAGTAGTATTAGTTCCGCCTAATCGCTAGTACAGTTACTAGCTGAAATGATGTCTAGTTTTGTGCCAGTTCAGAATATATCTCCAGTTTATTTCAATTATTTTCCTGTTCCGTCGATGATGAATAGTTTTTCGGACCAAACGGAGTTACCATCCCAAAGTTAGTTTTTTTCCTGCAAAACATTTTCTTTCTCACTGCTGTAGAATAAAAAATCTTTGTCATTAAACAACGTTGCGAGGACAAATCCTTTATTTTTTCCATTGTTTTTAGTTACAGTGTTAACTGTCTGGTTTTTATTGTTGTCCTCAAAACCGCAGATACAATTTTCGATTTGTGCATACGCCTTCTTTATTCAAACCTTTTTTTTTTTTCGAGGAAAGGGTTTCAATTAATTCATAAGAGCAAGTGTTTATTAACCAAGCGAAACTGTTTGGATAGAGGGTAGTATTCTTGAAAGGACCTGAAGCAGTAAACTTTTTGGGGTCAAGAACAATTTTTCAGTAGTGGCTCTTCCTTCACTAAAGGGCGAGTTACCATCACATAAAACATTTTGCGCGATTGCTCGTTGGAGTTCACTGTTTGACTTAATAACCTCTCTTTATCGCATAGAAGTGCAAAATTTTCTACTTTTACTACTAAATAACCTTTTTCTATGTTCTTTAATAATTTATTTTGGATATGTTTTGTAATGAAGAAGGAATGGTAAAAACTTTTTGCTTTTTTAACTTGAGGTTTCACTTCTAAAACTAAAAAAAAATGAATTTTATTGGTTATTGAACTTTCTTAATAATCTTGGGAACAGATGAATGTTTCATAAAAATTCAGTTTGTAGACTTAAAGGTAGTATGACATCGTGTTCTGATAGATATTACTGCTGCTAAGTATTCAAGTAATAATCAGCAGTAAAATAAAATCAAAGAATTTTTCCTATAGGTTGGTTTCCCGATTTTTCAAATTTTAATTTTATTACCTATTTAAGGTTATGTAAGTAGTTGTAGCGAAGGCGCAGTGGCAACTCCTAACCAGGATGGAAGCGTGGTTGAGTATTAAATCTTTGGTTTCTACCCAGTGAAAATTTTCGTTTAAAACTGTTTTGGAGTTATACTTACTGTTGAAGAAAGTCAGGAATCTTGTAAAGTGCTAAGTTTTATTAATTTCTCTGCAATCCTTTATCGCTTACTTCACTGTCATTCTGAAACAATGCTTTTATTTTAGTTCGACGTCTCTTTCCCAACTCTTCCTGTGGTATTCCCAAACACATTTTCTTCTCCTGTAGCGTTCGTACAGTCCCCACAGCTTCCATTGTGAGTTTCGTTCTGAAGTTTTTGTAGTTATCATTTGCTCAGCGCTAAATTTAAATCTTTTAAGCATCTCGCTGGGGGTGAAACGTTTAAATACATGAGACACAATGTTTTTTTTATTTTTTATCAAACTCTTCTTTCTTCTACAGACGATATTAACACCTTGCACAATTTTTATGTTTCTCTTACCAGCCAGGGCTAGTCAAGCTTTGTTTCATTTAATGCTTATTTTGTTAACAAAGCTTTTTAAAATGCTTTAGTGCTTTATATCATTATAATGTTCTCCGTCTGTTTTAGAAATATACCAAAACCCAATGTTGCGGTAATGGCTGAAGTTCCGCTAGAGACCGTTTTAGATTCCGGATATTTGGAAAGGCTAGCAAACTTAAAAGGAACGGTCAAGTGAGTTTTGCGTCAACAGCTTCTTATATGTTCTATTCTTTTAATACTTCTGCACAACCATTTATTTTATGGTTTTTTTTTAAAAATTTGGTTTCAGAACCTTGTTGCTTATTGAGTAGCTGATTTGGTAAACTATGAATTTTAACTGATTTCAGCACGAGTAACAGTTGTGGTCTTACTTGTCAAAAATTACTGTTGTTCATTATTGTAGAAGAGGATCAAAAATGTTGTTTATTATTTGTGAAGACGGATTTTAATTATCAACGGTGTTCAAGCCCACCTCGGCTAGAGCACGACTTATTGCTCATTTTTAACGATTTAAAAATGTCTAAAACGCCTAGTTTTTTAGCGCTCTTGCAAGTATATTCCCATGTGAAAATCCGTTCATCCGCAAGAAACTGTACGATCATTTCATAAAATCTGGTACTTTCCCAATTGTTTGCTGTATGTGTTCAGGGTTCCACTTTGCTCAGGTTAACAAGATAACACATGCCATTAAAGTTTATCCAACTCTAGTTTCGTTGTCTTGGTACTTTTACTATGATCTTCTTGTCATTCTTTATTTAGGCGCTGATAGCAGAATCACGCGAAGCAGAATTAAAAATTGTTATGTCATTATTACGTAGTCATGTAACTAAGATTGCTATGGATCGTTATGGCTCTATTTTTCTTCAGAAAACGTTTCAGTACATGAACCCAAAGAAGGTTCATGCTTTGATTTGGGAAATTCAAGACCTTGAGCTTACTTTAGCTGTACACTGTTACGCAAGTTATTTTCTACAGGTAGAGATGATCTTTATACCCTTTTAACATAATATCTTTTGGAAGCTTGGCTTTTTTTTTGGATTTGTTACGCTGAAGTTGTTTTGTAAATTGAATTCATCGAATTCATTTATTGAGCAGAAAAAACACCAATATCATTTCCTGAGGAGTTATAAAACAAGATTTTTTTCTTTGTTTGATTTTAGGAGCTTTTTGCTTATCTGAAACCAACTCAGTACCAATTTATCATAGATGCCTTCACGTCAAGTAAAGAGAACTTTTGTTCTGTTGCCGTTGGGAAGTTTGGTTGTCGCTCGGTGGAAAGTGCTTTCGAAGTTGGTTATTTTTTTAGGACCTCTTGCACTGACTTAGCTGAAGTTTTCTTTTGCAAAAATTCAATAATAGTAATAATTTAAACAGTGGTATCAGCCTTCTGATTCAGCTAGAAGTTATTTAAACGGTCTAAAGGATTCATGTTTCTTCCAAAAATGAATTTTTAGAAGTAAAATTGAGATATGGAACTGATTTTGTTAAAAATTTATTGGATAGCTTTTTAATATGTCATGAGAAAAAATTGGTAGAAGCAAAAACGATTGATTTTGCTTGTATAACTTAATTAAGTAAATTTCGTCAATTATTTATTCGAACTGGATGACTTATATATTACTTCCAAAAGTTAATAACTGCTTAGTGTAGTTTTATGAAACACTTTTTTTGTCGTTTTTTAGAGTTTGCATGTGCACATCAAAAGGGGCTCTCGGATGAGTCATATCTTACTCGTGAGGCTCGGGAATGCGATAGTTGAAGGTGCAGATACGTTCATTGTGGACGAATATGGAAATTTTGTTTTGCAATTGGTTTTTAAAAGCGAACATCTTCGGGCTCAAGCAGAAGCTATAGTTCGTCGTTCCGTGTTGTGAGTCAATACATTGCTTTTAACTTGGCAAGACACTTCGGTTTTTCGAGCATTGATCATGGGTATTTCCGCATTTCATAATAAATTTTGGGAAATTGACGTATTTTAGCGTTGTTAAGTTGTTGTATCAAAAGTCTTATGGTATGAATGCATTCAGCGCTGCAGGTTTTTTAATATTTTGTATATTTAGAAGGAAAATTTTGGAAATATCCCAGGATAAATTTGGTTCCCGAATTTTAGAAATTGCTCTCAGATATGCCTCAAATAGCTGTTTAAGAGAAATGGTAGCTGAAATCCTTGACGGCTATGAACCAGATCAGTAAGTTTGAATACTTTTTTTGCGCACGTATTTGCTTCATATCTCTCGTTGATATTTGAAGAAAATCGTAGCTTGTACTCCCGTTTGAAGATAAAGAGCATAGAACATGCTTTGATGTTTCAAGTGAGCATTTGTAGAGTTCAACGAAACAAATACCTTACAATTGTTGAATTTTTAAATTGAAGCTTTCCTAATGTAGTCAGAAGAAAATAAATATTTTCCAACAAGCGGCTTCTTTTTCATGTTGTTTCTCTTTAATTTCGCAGTCTGCGTAAGAAGGCCATGTTTTTGACTTTTTCTCAGCTTGGTTGCTGTTATACAGTACTAAACGTGTTAATTCTATATCACTTTCAGAAATACTTTTATTCTCTTAGGTTCACAGGTTTCTTACCTTCATCTAGTCAGGTGTGGCCGTTCTGAAAACTAAGCTTTTTGCAAAATCGCACGGGTTTTTGCTACATTTGTATCAAATGAAACAAAGTGTTCTACGTTTGAACAGTAGTTGGAACTTAAAAATGGTTTTCAAGGTCTCTTGGTCTTTTAGTGTTACAAGAGTGTAGCGACACTTCACAGATTAAGAAACTTGAAGTAATTTGCAGAACTGCCTGTCTTATTTGTATTTTATATAATCACATACTATAATTTATCAAGTTTTCATCAGTCGCTCTTTAATCAACTTCCAAGGAGCAGGCACGTTTTACAGTGGTTGCACGATGTGTTTCTTCAATTTAGAATATTTTAAAGGCGGTAGGACTTTAAGAAAGTTATAGTACTAGTAACATTTACTGTTTAGTGAAGTTTTTTTCAGAAATGGTAGGGACGCTGTAGAAATCTTGATGTTTCATCCCATAGGTAATTATGTAATGCAGGCGCTACTGGAAGTTGCTATTGATGTAGAGTTTGGACGACGTGATGGAGATAAGGGATGGTTTTTCCGTTTAGCTACTAAAATCATTGCGCGGCAAGACCGACTTAGCCGTTTAAATTCCGGCAAAAAACTTTTGGCGAAAGTAGAGCAGGTTTGTGATAATTATGTGTACTAATTTGGGGTTTTTCTTTGTTAGTCGCTGTTAGCTGGGAGCGAAACAACGAGGAAATAGCTCGAGCGTACTTAGTAGATTTGATACATTTTCAGCAGAACATCTCTCATTGTGAGTCTTCTTGATTATTTCTTTTATTAGGCACTGACGTTTTATTGTGTGATATGTGATATATTTTAGGGCCACTCCATGCCAGTTCATACATTTTTTCCATTTGATAATTTTATTAAATTTTGCTGGTTGGTAGCGTCAGGGTCCGAATTTGGAAGGTTGAGGAAGAACTAGGAAGAGTGGATTCTTCTTGGCGTTATACTCTCTCAAAGTTGCAAAATTTGCCAGTTTGCTGCTCGACGCGCCTGTCTTCCTGAGTGTGTGATTTGCCTGAACCTAAACGTTTGCGGTTTATTAGATTTTGTTTTCTACTTTTAGATCTACATTGCAACTTGTATTTTTGCTTTATGATACTTGAATGCAAAAAAAAAAAAAAAAAAAAAAAAAAA